TAATTTATCCTCAAACTTGACCTTAAGAAATTACAGAACATAATTAGTTTCTCTAGGAGGTTGCATATATGTATGCGTGTTAGTGAAATTAGAATTCTTCGCTTAATTAGGTCACGACTAAATAAACTTTCTTACATGCACCTATGTGAAATGTAACTAAATCAATAAATTGTTGCTTGACATTTCTTAGCTGGCATAATTGTTAGAGATTTAAGGATTCGTTTAAAATGGCATGTGTTGCTGATTGGAGCAACGATCATTGGTGAATAACTGGTTACACCAAACAGACCGAACAGGATGGAAGTAGCATGCTTAAAATTCGAAAATACAATTCAAATCTTCATGTTAGTTTACGAATTTCCTCTACCATTTGGGAACAAACAGAGGATTTTGGAACACTCAGAAGCACTCAGAAGCAGGAAACTTCACCGACTGGCGAGTAAAAATCGGATCCTATTAAGGCTTTCATCATGTATTCCTAGCTTCCCAAAGTTCACCTGGTTTAAAATAATCAGTGCCCTTAACGTCATATACAGTTTTGGAATTTTTGTGACATTGATGTTTGTCAAGAACGGGAGGATTCATATGAAACTCGGTGCAGTAGTTACTGTCAGCATTACAGGGTTAGTTGGGTTGATGAATACATCCTACAATTTCGCTTTATACTTTTATTCCGACCAAATTAACTGGACCATGGGACAAGTTAAGCAACTGGCATATAATCATGCGGGTAAGTATATTACTGAACTCTTAACCATTCTTAATCGAATTATTCGATATCCGGGGAGAAGTAACCATTTATTATAAATCTGTCCAAACTAACTACATTCAGGGCTTATGTTGAAGACGTATTCATATTTCTTTGTTTCATTCTAATGGCATGATACATGATTAACGAATCAGGCAGGATGTTCGGCTAGTTATTTACATAGCTACATATGTACAACAATTCAACATTATTTCGTAATCAAAAGAGAGCCGGTGCACATTGCTACACGAATACATGGAAATATATATTGGCTAGCTATTTACAAAAATATAAACTTAGTATCCCCTTCCTACTTCTCCAAACGTATTAAACGGTCACATTTTAGAGATATTTTTAGAAAAAGACTTGATGGTTCAGCAGAATCTAAAATATTTAAGGGAATACCTTTGGTTAAACTTTTAAAATTCATCTAGGATTTTATTTGGTTGTTACCAAACTTTGAAGTGGCTTTGACCTTAAAACCAGGACGTTTTAACTTATCTGATGAGTTTAATTATTTCAATTGCAGCTGGGAACCTTGGACGTTCAACGGGGATTAAGTCTAAGACGAAATATATATCTCTGGCCTACGTGTTTTCCTCTTTAATCTTTTCTTATTTCGTGTTCGCTATATCGCCCATCTTCGGGCTGAAGTTGGACCCATTGTACTATTTTCACCCTTCATTCCGCCGTAACATCGGAATACCAGGAAAATTCCTACGCATTATTGTTGGAGGTCTGCAAGGATACCACTGGACGTTTGGATCATATATCCTTTTCCTCATTATGATAGAATTTGTGTCAATGTCTGCAAACATTTTGAGGTCACTCTCTATCCAGAGACATGTAAATACTTCGAAATATAATTCTTTGCGAATAGTTGTGACTTCATTCAATCAAATGTTTGCGTTCACGGGCACGTTTGTACTCGGTTGTTCGTCTGTGATATATATTAGTTCTGCGTATGCAATGCTTACTTCATATAACAAGCTACCTCTGGCGGTATATTCGATTTTCCCGCTGGCCATTGTTATCATAACATGCTGCTGGGGTGTCGGATTGAACGCGGCGGCAAAAGTGTATACGAGGTCAGGACAGTGTATAAAGAACTACAAATGCGCAGGACTTGATCAGAGAAAAGCCGTAATGATGAAAAGAACACTGAAACGAATGGGCATGGTTTTCGGTAGCATTGGCGTGGTCTCCAAGATGTCTACATTGAAGTTGTTTGATGTCTGGATGAACCAGACGGCGAGTGCTCTTTTAGCCTTGGACTAGTGTATAACATACCTATTAACCTTGATTTATATGCGTAAGTATGATAGCATATGGCAATAAGTGAGTATGAATTTGTAAGCATTTGAATCAACATGAATTAAAAGCGCTCCCTGATTTCAGATGAAAAAGAGTGATTGTCCGCTTTCACTTACCACTACATGCTTACCACCTAAGTTCATGTGGCGAAGTAATTAGATAGCTGACATGAATATGAAAGAAAATAACAAAATATGAATGAAACCCTTCTCGTTGATGGAAATGTCTTGCCCAACCGTCTATCCGCCCGTATCCACGATAACTTTAGACAGATTCGAATTTCGACATCCTGTTTCCACCAACGTGTTACTAATTTCTGGGGACTGGACGAGTTCGAAGATGTAGTTGTAGGTCATAAGGTTACGGCGCTACGGTGATAACTCCAACGTGAAAGTGTTGAATTTTTTGTTTCCACTGTTTTGGACGTATTTGTGCACGGGGATTTCAGAAATATCCATCACTTCGACGTGTGACGACCCCATGACCGTCTGGGCTGTGTCGAATGTCGAAAAATGACTTTTGTAATGTGGGGCGCCTATTGAAAGTTATGGTCATATATGTTCGAGGTACGCTGGTGGGGTGTCAAAACGCGGCAAAATTAGACGAAAGGGGATTTGCGACAATTGTGCTGAAAGATTGTGTGGGCATGCCACATAGGCAATTCCGTGAACCAAAACCAAAATGAAAACCTCATGGATATTTGTTTAGGGAATTTCATATGTTTTTGCGGCAAGGCCTCACGAAAAAGTGAGCTACCGGCATAGATCGGATATTTTGCGTACTCCGGCCTCCGCGTACTCCGGCCTCCGGCCGGCCATGCGTACTCCGGCCTCCGCGTACTCCGGCCTCCGGCTGGCCACGCGTACTCCGGCCTCCGCGTACTCCGGCCTCCGGCTGGCCACGCGTACTCCGGCCTCCGCGTACTCCGGCCTCCAGAAAAAGTCGCGTACTCCGGCCTCCGGAGGCCGGAGTACGTACTCCAAGCCCGGAATTCTCCTATCTATGCGATCGGAAATTTTGCGTACTCCGGCCTCCGTACTCCGGCCTCCGGCCGGCCATGCGTACTCCGGCCTCCGCGTACTCCGGCCTCCGGCTGGCCACGTGTACTCCGGCCTCCGCGTACTCCGGCCTCCGGCTGGCCACGTGTACTCCGGCCTCCGCGTACTCCGGCCTCCAGAAAAAGCCGCGTACTCCGGCCTCCGGAGGCCGGAGTACGTACTCCAAGCCCGGAGTACTCCGATCTATGGCTACCGGTCGACCATGTACGATTTTTTTTGTCATCCACAGGAATTTTTCGCCAAAAACGGTTTTGAGGCATAAAATCGTTAGCGTGGCGAAATTCAAAGAATTGAAATATACAAAAGCTTATAGATTGCGAATATATGCTTTTGTATTATTTCAATTGTTTAAATTCCGCCACGGTCACGATCTTAGGCTTCAAACCCGTTTTTACAGGTCCGGATATGAAGAGTATGTAAATGTTTAAGTTTAAACAGGTAAACTAAATGCGAGCGGTACTTTCTTAATCAAACGGCATGTTGATCTTGTGGCCATATAATTTAAAATATTTATATTACAGTATAGATTTGATTCACAGGATCAGCCCCGAAGGAAAGAGTGACACTCTTTCCTTGTTATGGAAATTTCAATGACATTCTTCCCCCTTCAATTTACTGATTACTCGGCCGCATTCAATCGAAATGTGTTTTTGGAGTATTTAAATTTCCGCATTATGTATTCATGAATGCATGTAAAAAAGCCTAAGCGACAATATAAATATATTATATATCTTATTAAGAAATCAAGTACGAACAAATCAAGTGAAAGAGCTATATTTTGTAAATAAATTTATTAAATAAGCGAACAGAAGGGGGTAAAATTGTGGATTCGACCTGCACGGTAATTTAATTTTATCCGGCATGACTTCAAATGCTTGAAGCGCACTTTAAATATTAATAAAAAATCAAGTTTACAACTTCAGTGCATCTTTTACTTTTTTCATGTTTTATTACCAGCTCAATTTGCAACTTTTTATAACATGGGTATGTTTTTTTCCTAGTGGGTGTGGCTCGCCAATTTTTTTATAAGCAGGTCCTAAGCACGGCAGAGCATGAAATCTGCAAAAATATCATCGGAAATGTGCTCTGGGAATTTTTAGCGATAATTTAGACGTATGTATTTCGCTTGGAACGGCACGGGACTCAAATAAATAATCCCAAATAATAGTTTAAAAGCAAATGTGATACGTATGCGTACTCATGTTCCTAAACTGGGTATATGCATATTCATTTAAAAAATCGTAAGCATGCGTATATATATACTTAATTCGTTCGTAAATTGGTAAATATTCGTGAGTGTCTGTTCAAAACTTTTCAAAAGTTTTTAAACTGGGCGACATAAGGTATTATGTAAATATTTTACAGTTCTTGATACATATGTGTGATGTAAAATGCTTGTTATACGTATGTACATAAGTATGTATAACCAATCGATTAGGTGCCGCACATAAAATATGTGATTGATTTTCGGAGAATTTTTATCAACTTCATATGTATACCCCATTTCGCTCTATGCTATGTATAACTAACATGGAAAGGATAGGATGCCTTGACTCCCGTCAAGTCGATCACATGCCTTCTGCACAGCCCCTTGTTATAATAAAACCATTCTGTTCAGTATAACATCCTTTTGCATGAGTCATTATAAATATCCATAAAATAAATGATGGAACTGGCACGCAAGGTTGCTACATAGGAACTACGACATTTATTATACCCCATGACACATCGTCAAACTATTTTATCGTTTATTTGTTTGGTGAGATACATAATCCCCACCTTCCTGCCTGGTTATCTAGTTCAGTTTATCTGTAAGTTATGCACGTATGTATGTGCATACACTTACATACTCATACTCGTCAACTGCACTGGTTAGGAAGCATTGGCTCATTTACGCTCGTAAATTTTGCTGGATTAGTCGGCTCGACAAAATATTTAGTTATAAAGAGTAAATATTTAGCTCACTCAGTGGTGGCCTGCGTCTTGAGCAATATATATCCAACCTCCAAATTATCGTACTTTCTATAAAAAATTGGAATTTGCTCCCTCGTGTCTCATATTTGGCAATATGCTTAAACGATATAATTCACATATATTTTAGTTTGGAAGTTAAATTAATTTTCACATCTATATGTATGTGAATTCCATTATTTGAGCATAAGTTGCCAAAAATGCACAAAATCCCAATTTTTAATAAGATTTAGCTCACAGATTAGGATATAAGAGATGAACTACTAGTCGTCTTTGTTAAGCAAGTAAGGTGGATGATTCTCCTATGCGACTCTGAGAGGTCTCTGTAAGCCGTCAATGTTAACTAAATGACAAACTCACAGAGTTAACTCCTACGCCATCTATGACATGCATAGGATCATCTCATTCAGCCCAAACCTGTATCCTTATCATCGTGGTAGTTAATCATTCGTAGCTAGAGCGCGCACTAATACAAACTCTTACGCATTTTGTATTTACCAATGCTGAGATCCTACCCATTGATTTAGCTACACAGTTTTGCCATGGAGTCGTCGCAAAATACGATCAGAGCTTCACAAGATAATTCTGCCTACGAAATCGAAGAAGATGAACTCGTGGATATCATAAAGAACAAAGAATTCTTAGCAGATTCCTTCATCGACGAGTACGTGGCACGCAAGATTGAACAAGACCCAGATAAAGATAGATATGGCTACATTAGCATAGCTGTTACAAAACTTTTACAAAAACCCGACAACAAAAACAGTACTACCCAAGACGAGTCGATTTTTTCAAAAGAGCTAACTCGTGTTCAAAATTGTTCGTATGTATTCATTCCGGTCCATGATGTGAATCATTTCTACTTACTGGAACTGGACAATAACATACATGAACATCATGTAATATTTAACATTCTGGACAGCCTGCCTCATGAGCCTCGTTACAAGTCGGCGGAAGTTTTGTGTAAAAAAATTGCAAGGCTGGTAAACACCTCATGGAAGAGTAGTGTTACGTGGAAAAAGGAAAGAAGCCCATGTCCTCAACAACAGAATGGATACGAGTGCGGCTATTTCGTCATTCAAAATATAATGTGGAGGCTTTACGACAGTTTTTTGTGTGGAAACAGAAGATTTACGGAGCTGGATCTCGCTGTTCTAAAGCAGGAGATATTAAAGGAATTCTTTCCGCTAGTGGTCATCTCCAGAATTAAAAACGATGGGCGCAAAAAGAAACCAAAAAAGGCGCGAGGAGGTGAGCCGATGCAATTGTTTGTTTTAAATGGTGGGGACAGAATTATGTGGTATCATCTTACCTATCCGGGAAACGCAGAGTCGTTGATCCTATTGTTCATAGGGAATTCATAATGCGATACGGTGTAATTTTTAAATAAGAGAATCTCCCACATAAGCTTTGATTATAAAAAGTCTTTTGTCTAACTGAATAAAGAAACCATTGCACGAGCTTAACATAATACCAAACAATAGGAAATTGGTAGGGTTAACTGTGTTAAAAGTAGTCCTGCCTGGAATAAACCCCCAAAACGAATATCAATAAGTAGCGTCAGAGCGATTACAAATTTACATACAGGGTGTTTAAGTGTCAGGTTACAATGGAAAATTTGTCAATGGGAAAAATTCGTAAATCCCATTAGTTACCGAAATGTTGCCTCTGAAATTCAATATTTTAAGAATTTTACGATCAGTGTTCCATCTCTTTTTAATAAAAATTAACATAAATCTCAACCCCAACTCCGTAATTAATGGAAATTTACGAATTTTTCCCAGTGAAAAATTTTCCATTGTAGCCTGAAATTTAAACCTCCCTGTATGTAACTCAACCACGTCCTCAAGGTCATAAGGTCAAAAAGATTGACGGCGTAGGGGAAGCAAAATATTTAAATATAGGTTGAATTTGTTTGATTATATAAGTTTGTTTCTTTATTTACGCTTGAGATTTTTGGTTAAAAACTGTGGAACCCCCCATCGGTTAATATTTTACTTGACATAAATAAACGCCTAGTAGGTGCGCCCGGTAGGAAGTAGTTAACCCTAAATCGAGTCCTGATGACAGACCGACGGACGGACATAACGATCGCAATAAGTAGCTGGCGCTGCTTAATAGCCATAAATTATGTACAGGCGGATTCAATTTGGAACAGGACGATACCGTTTCATTAGCCATGACCCCCGATTTCATCTTCGTCAACTATGTAATACATAGTATATATCTGCATTTTGTGATACTAAGCATCGCAAGAAATAATGAATACCCATGATCAATGGATAATAAATCCAACTTCTAAAGAACTTACAATGCGATGGTGTGCAGTGTAACCCTCCGATTTGATTGAAATTTTGAAATTATGTGATCCATGTCAATACAACCAACGTTTCTTGAGGAATCTTGTTATGGTTGGAATTTGGCAAAATATTTGAGGTCAAAGTTTAAAAAATGGACGATTGTTATGAAGGGGAGGAAGCAAACCCATCGCCCAGGCCTTTCAAAGGGAAAAATCGCCCATTTAAGTATTCAACTTTGACCTCAAATTGTTTGCCAAATTCTGACCATCGCACAAACTGCTTCAAGAATCGTTGGTTGTATGTATTGACTTAGACCAAACAATTTTGAAACTTCAGCCAAATCGGAAGGTTACACTTCACACCATCGCATTGTTAGTCCGGCGAATGTTGTAAAACAATTTAGTGAAATGTGAATTAGGTCTCACAAATATAAAAACCATACAAAAATATATGTATGAATTTGTGTGTAATACTTGATAAGGATACTTATTGCTTTACAGGAAATAAATCAGATAATCTGGAAGGGGACAAACTTGAAGATAATGACAAATCCGATTCTGGTGGGGAGGATGAAGCCAGCAGTGTGGAGGACGACGAAGGTTAGACAGATGCATTTATGTACATACAGAGCATAATTAACCCCACTGACAATGCACATGTCAGACATATTTCTCTCGGATCTTCATGTCACCAGCACCAAAAAATCAAAGAAATCGAGGCACACAAACAACAGTTGGTGTGACACTTAAACACTTCTGCAGAATTCGCGAAATGGCTAAGGTTTTAAGTTGTCAAAAACGCGTATTTTCACCATGCGAATCTATACGGGGTTCTCCTCTCCGCTTTCTGATTTTCTCCTTCGCTTCTCTTCATTAGGTCATCGGTTTTCGTCTTTCATTCAGAATTGATTTTACCGATTTCCCAAGCAAGCTCTGATCCTATTTTTTATGTGATTTTCAAATAGTTTTTGAAATAATTTTTAATATTTTCAGTGGATTAAATTAACTTCTTAAGTGGCCATTATTATATTTTAACTGGTTCAAAAGAGTGGATTCGATTTTTTTTCACTTCTTTCGCGTGGTGTTTTTTTTATTTTGATGACAAAACTAATGAATTTGTGTGATGTTGGCCCTTATCACACATACATACGTGGGAAACTTGGTGTAATAATTTCCACTGAAGAAGCTAATTGAATCCATTTACAATACTTGAACCTTAAAACTTAAAAACCATTTACAACAAAAACCCTTAAAACCTTTAATAACCCTTACAACTGAAAACCTTCGCCATTTCCCATTTCGCGAACTCTGAAAAATTCATAGCGATCAGAACGGGAATTGATGTCACAGTATGATTAAGAATATATTCGTGCATGTTCATTGTTCATGTCAAATTTCAAATTTTTTGGATGCAATTTAAATGTAAATTAAACATTAACTAGTGCTCAGGTCGCATATCGTCGTACTAATTCAGAAAAGACCTAAGTGCAGTGGATGCTTTATTCAGAAAAGACCTAAGTGCAGTCGGTGTTTAATTCAGAAACGACCGAAGTGCAGTCGATGCTCAATTCAGAAAAGACCTAAGTGCACAGAAAAAAAGCAAAAAAAGACCTATGTGCAAGTATGCATTTACTTGTGGCTAAATCGCGCGATATATATGAAAAATCATTTTGGCAAGATTTAGCCATAAGTAAATACATACTTGCACATAGGTCTTTTTTTGCTTTTTTCTGTGCACTTAGGTCTTTTCTGAATTGAGCATCGACTGCACTTAGGTCTTTTCTGAATTAAACACCGACTGCACTTAGGTCTTTTCTGAATAAAGCATCCACTGCACTTAGGTCTTTTCTGAATTAGTACGACGATATATTGGAACTCTGGGTCCGATTTTTGTGAGTGAGAGAAAGAAAAATCCTTCACATTTGACCAATTTTTGAATTTCAATACCTCCAGAAGTTCTTGGTCAATTAAAATTCTGTAAAAGCTACTCTGTGCCCAATTAGCCAACCAAGTTTTAGCAATTAAATTCACAGTACGCCCCAAAATATACTTGGTATTTTATGGTTGCAACTGGCTTTTAACCTGGTGTTTTATGGTTCCAACTGGTTTTCAACTTGGTACTTTATGGATCGATTTGCATTGTGAGACTGGAATTCTCATAAACAAACTCCCTAGAGTTTGATGTTAAATTAATTTCTATATCTGGTAGCAACCAATTAAATTTCCATGATTTTCTATAAAAGAACAATATTATTTCACCAGTTTCCAAGTTTTGTGTTTTTTGACGAAAAATCCACGTTTTAACATTAGTCGGTATACATAGGGAAAATTCTAAAAGTTGTGAAGATAAACATCCAAAAAGGACCATTTTTTAAAATAACATACCATTTTCCAGAAGATACCAAACAAACCCTCCTATTTTGTGCGATTTATAGTAATCTGCATTTTAAAAAATACATGGGGCAGTCGTCATAGTACGTCATACGTAGATACGTACGATGAATTTGGTATGCAATGAATTTTTGTTGATAAGTGATTTGATGTACTCTTAAACCAACGTCACTCATGTGACGAATTTGGATAAATGAGGCCGTTCATAAATTATGTGAAGCGTTAGGGTGTATAGTAAATCGCCATTTTTTCGTTACACAATTTATCAACGGCCCCTTATTAATACTTATTAAATATGATTTCAGAGACTACCGATGACACACGTGGAAATAACCCCCTACCTTACGTAAACATCCATAGAATCAACATTAACAGTGTGAAAGTCGACCTTCTCAAAAATTTTCCGAAAACAAGCTTCAAGTTTAAGAAAGTCGAGAACCCGACTTTGGACGACATACCAATGCAGACTATAATCAATAGAATTTTGAAGCTGGACGACGACACGGTCACATCTGCATACTCCCTGACCCAAAGAAGAATAATACGAGAAATTCCGTACGGGAAAATCGAGAAAACGGTCTCCGTGGATGTCTACTGGACGCAAAAAGAGAAAGAAAAAATTGACCCATGCCTCAACTCGCTTGTTAATGTAAAACTCACGTCTGGCGGAGAAGTATCAACCGTAACTTTTATCCCAGTGGAAACCTCCCTTTATGCCATTACGTCCAACAAAGCTTACTCCTTGTTCAAAAAATTTGCTGATTTTCAATTCTTGATAAAAGTTCCCGAACGCATCCTCACCAGCAAAGGAGCGAAATGTTACCAGGTTAAGTCCTTGGTGGGAGGCCGGAGATCGGAAGACGTCACGGAGAAAGCTCACGTGGATTTGAATGCTTTGCAGGTCGGACAAATTTGCCAGAGTTACAGTGCAATGCTGAAACAGAAATCGAGGAAAATTCTATTTCCCACCTATGAAAAAGATATCCACGTGGAAATTGGCGTTTATCGGATCAAGTTTCGTGCCGAATTAACTTTGAAACAATTGTTGTACGCCATTTTCAAGCTGGAACGTATTTACGCAGGAAACTACCCTAATCAGTTGAAAATTTCCCAAGCCTTGTCACGCGTCACGTTACCAGTCGACTTATCAACGAATAGCGTATTGAACGAACTGTTTTTAGAGGAGTGCGTGAAATTTTTGAATAATGATCCCCCTGCCCAAGAGCTTACATCGTTTTTGAAGAACTTCGACCTATGTGATACTTGGGTGAAGGAATACTCGCAAGCGGCCGAGGTAAATTTACATTACAAGGGGATTAAGCCGGTTAACCTAGGGGCAGACCCCAGCTTGACATATTTGCTGGAGACGTTTAGAGACCAATTTGAACTAGAGGAAGGAAGTAGTTGGTCTAAGGATGAGTTAAAGGGGATCCAAATGTCTTTCAAATACGAAGCACAGCGAGCCAAGAACAAGCCATTTATTTCATACGTAAATGGTGTCATGTATCGAAAAAGTGATCAAAACCACTTTTGGCGGGTTAACAACATTTGGTACTACATCACGGATGACACAATCGTTAATTCCCAACGCCAGTTTCAGAAGGTCTTAAAAAATCACCTGTTACCTCATTCTGATCCCATTTCCTTACAGAAAGAATGGATTCACGAGGAAAAGGTTGGAAAAGATGGTAAAAAACGAATCCAGGCAGAAGACGAAGGTAATTATAATACCCTCTACGAGAAGGAACCCAATTATTACGTTGGTGATAAAGTAACGCCAAGAAGTATTGAATATTTCGATATTATTTGGACCCCAAATAACCCTTATGATTCATACTTATACCACGTGAAACACGGATTTGATCACACTACTCGCGACGCTTGTTCTCAGCTCCGGAATTGCGCCCAACTCTTGGAAGACTTAGCTTTGTCGCAGAGTTCGGGGAAAATGAAAGGTTCGAAATTAGATGTGTATGCCAAGGAAAGAATAAAGAAGGTGGGAAAGGGGAAAGACCAAAAAGTGGTCAAACTACCACCAATTTTTAAAACTAAGGAGCAACTGCTTGAAGTATTCGGACTGGGAGCGGATAACCCGAGGCAACGAGTTTATGTGATGGGCTTACTGCCAAACCCGAGGCTAGAACGTGACAGAAACCCTCAACCAATGGAGAATTTGACGGACAGGGACAGAGTTAGGTCGCTCCATTTGGAAAAAATTGTCAAGTTGGAATTTACCGCAAAGAATATAATGGATCGGATGAATCTGAAACGTTTGTCGGAACACAGGGAGGAACTGGTCAAAGCGTTTGGACTGGACGGGGGAGCCTTAGCTGTTAAAATATGTGAACTACTCGTAAAACATGATTTTGCAGATTTACGAAAAGGAATATACTATACGAAGGCTAGGCTACTACTTATCGAAAGCAAGGAAGATTTTAGCCAAGTTTTCTCCTCTGCACAAGATGGCCAACAAACAAGTAAAAGAAAAAAAGGAAACAAGGATAATTTTTGCAAAGCCATGATGTTTTTAATGGATGAGTACAGAACTTATTTCGATTCCTTGGGTGCCAAGATGGAAATCATTAATTTGGAGCGACAACTTAGAATACGGATAACACCAGAACAGTTCAAGATTTCGGAAATATTAGGGAAGTTCGGGAAAGTTAAGGAGAAACCAAAAAATTAACCCATGTTAGTTTTCCAGATCAAGTTGTGCATCTTTCGCTCCGGCCACCAACAGTGTATCTAAATATAAACTGCCTATGGAATCAACTCTTATGTACATATTCAAGACAACGCAAGGATTTTTAATCAAAGTTAAATATTACTAAACATACATGTATGTACATGTATTTATGTATGTAAATAAGAAATAACTCTTAATAAATATGATAAATATTTAGTAATTGTTTGTTTCTTAACCAAGTCATCACAAAAATTTGTTACATTGGAATTTAAAATTAATAAAACTGTGAAAATTTGTATATAGAAAATTTTTTGTTGATTTGTTATTTTTTTAGGTGTGTAAATACAAACAAAATCAAATATACATAATCATGACATTATGATTATGTGGTACTGAAGATTTCCTTACGAGCATATGAACTATGAAATAAATGTGGAGAATGTAAATAGCTAGATATACTAAGATATGTGAGACTTATTATAATCCTGACGCAACTAAGTATCTATTTGTATTCATCCTCAATACAGATATCGCAATAATGTTTCTTAACACGAGAAATTTTTTTGGGGAGTACTTTAAATTTTTGGTAGCTGCTATATCAAAGGCCCATTTCAAAAACTTGCCATTCTATAAATATGTACATACATTCAAGTATGGACAATCCCAAGATTTCCGATGGATTACAAATTATGGAATAATTAAGTAATAATTTTCCTGGGATTACGGTATTATGCTTACTTTGTCTGGTCAGCTCACGTGGATTACTTTGATATGCATATTGGTTTGCTGGATTATAGCTCAGCTAGATTGGCCAGTAAATAAAAATGCGTCTGCTATGCATGTCTATCGTATGCAAAGCCAAGTGTTGTTCGTGTTGATGTCGTCACTACATACATACCCATTCTCTAAATAAAACTAAGTAAAATTTACTCAAATAGTAAAAAAGATGATGACGCAACCAAAACTCAAAACTTAATCACATTTTGGGAAAATTTATTCTCTAATTTTGTAAAAAAATTGTAAAAATTATACCTCTTGGTTGTGCCATCCTTATTTTTATGCAACCAGGCCTTAAGAAATTACAGGACAGGATTAACTTGTTATTTAGTTGCTTACTCTGCACACATGTGAAGATATACACTCTAAGAAACTGGGTGATAGGCGTTATCACCACGCGAGTGGAAATAGCAAGCATCACCGTAATGGTGATAAACTTATCACCGAAATTTGTCACCATTGGTGGTGATTGCTACTACCACCGCACCATGGTGGTAGCTTCGTTATACACGTGACTTGCAGAGGGGCAAGTTTGTCCTACTCCACGCTCCACGTACCAGATACAGCAGCTGACAAGCAGCGGAGTTGCAAACTACTTCGTACTTCAAAGTTTAAGAGGAAAAAAATAATACCGTGCCCAAACAGTTATCGTGAATTTAATGGCACAGGTAAAAAAATAAAAATTAAAAGTTAGCTAATTTTGGCCAAGTTAATTTTGTTTCTTTTCTAGTTGGAGAGAAATTTAACTTGGACGTGGATCTAGAGGACGAAGAAAGTGCCGAAATTGAAGTATTTCGACGAGGTAATATTTGCATAAAATTTAATAGCTTATTTGTTGAATCTGCACATAATTAATTAATATATTTTTTTTCTAATTGGTCGGCCAAATGTAATAAATCTGGAGTCTATAACTCACGAATGTGGTCACTGGTTGCACTTCAAAAAATCTCGATAGTACAACGGAATCTCTGCAAATAAGTAAATTTGTGGCAAGGTTGTTTTAACGGTAAAGATAAATCAATAAAGCCTGATATTTTGACCGATCTAAATGAAAGTTAATTGTTTTAAACTTTAATTAATTTCAGTCAGTGTCCTATGGCGTGACTGGAAACTAGTCACAACTTAAATTGCTGGGCCAATTCCACAATGGCGAGGGACATAGGTTTTACATATATACATACATGTAAAATATTAATTATCTTTTTAGATATTTGAATAAAGCAATAAATTGTGAAAAATGTGACATTTTTGTATGAAGTACCAAATTTATGTTTACTTACATATCTATCACCAGACAGTGAAAAGGCGAGCTAATTATGGTGGTGGCATATCACCGCGCGGAGATAAACAATGTACATCCTTCTACCACCACCCGGTAGATGTCTACCACCACGATGGTGATGGCAGTTTCTATCACCGAACGGTGGTTGGTGACCACCATTGCGGTAGAGTCACATATAGTCACCGCTCGGTGATAGTCCGGTGGTAAAATTTCTTAGAGTGTACTCACTGGAACTTCATCCTTAATTAGGTCACGACTAAATTAAATCATCACGACTTCCTTATGTGAAAAGCAACCAAATTTATAAGTAATTTGAAAATTATTTATCCACTTTGGGAAATATTGGTGCACATGAATCGTTTCAGTTTAGGGTTGTATTGGAATGGGTAATATTTAAATATTTTCTGGCAACCTCGGAAATGTTCAACGATAAGAGGGAGAAATTTCGTTGAATACATTTCTATTTTTAAACTATAAAGTGAATTTTCTTAGCTTAATAATAAAATTGAAAAGTTGTTACCCCTGGAGTTTCTGTGCACGACTGGTTTGCCATAAGAAGGATATAAGCCTGCGTAGGAACTGAATTAAATTAATGGTTAACAGTATTAAAATGCTTAGAAAATGCTACAAATGCTAAATTTCCTGAATAACTGCTGCCAATTTAGCTAACTAAAATCTCTCTCGCTAAGGTCATCTCTTATTTTTCATGATTTCCGCTTTAAATGAAAGTGAAAGATCTATAGCATTAAAAAAGACAATTTAAGCTTAGTGTTCTTCTGTGGGTTTCAAAATATGTACACCCCTTGGCTGAGATGACGGAACTCACGCCAGGAATCTCAAGCTCTATTTGCAGGTTAGAAAATTACATGGAAGTTTTTGGGTTTGGTCACGTCTCACCCCGATGCAGAATTTATATATATCCTCAGCCGTTTCTCTCCGTAATCATAGTCTCACCTTACGAGGGAACCTCTTATAGTGCCCGGAGCTCCCAGCATAACCACTACGTACATTCGACGTAGATTTTAATACTAGTCCGATGATGTGACAAAATTTCCGTGTCAAAATGACATTTCGTCAAGTGGTGACGACTTTAGTGACGCGCCGAACGGTCACTTTCGCCCTTGCTTTCAAAAGAGGAACGCTCTTCACCACTCGCTCCTCACTCATCTCACTTAAATCTGAACCCATTTACTCATTGAGTAAACTCGCATCCAATTTAACTGTTTTGACAATATGATCCTTGTTTACTATTTGTAGCCTTTTAATATTATTTTTTACCTTGAAATATTCGGAGTTTAAAAATTATAGAATGTCTATAATTGTATCAATTTGTGAGTCTGTTCTTAAAATCGCCAAGGACAGGTATTCGGGAGATTCGAACGCTTCATCAATTCCAGTTAACAATGTTGAAATTGTTGACCGGGTTTTGCGTTTTGTGGAAGATTTAGTTGATAATTCAAATACGGACTTTGAATCTTCTATTACTTTAGAATTTGATTATGATTGTGATATTGACACTTATGTCTAGGCATACGATTTAATTAGTGATAGTGATACAATAAATGAATTTCATGAGGATTCTGAAGATGAGCAAGACGTCGAGGAAGCTTCTGCAAGTCTGTCGCAACGAACCTCACAGGAATGGGAGGACTAAGATGTTGACGGTGTAAATTTTACCTATCAAGAGATGGTGAATATTCTTAACTTCTACAATCGTGCCAAAAAAAATAAATTAGAAAAGACAAGGCGTAGGTATAGTAAAGTTCGTGATTATAAATCCATATATCGTATGCGAAATTATGTCGAAAAAATGGGTTGAGATTTAAGTGAGATGAGTGAGGAGCGAGTGGTGAAGAGCGTTCCTCTTTTGAAAGCAAGGGCGAAAGTGACCGTTCGGCGCGTCACTAAAGTCGTCACCACTTGACGAAATGTCATTTTGACACGGAAATTTTGTCACATCATCGGACTAGTATTAAAATCTACGTCGAATGTACATAGTGGTTATGCTGGGAGCTCCGGGCACTATAAGAGGTTCCCTCGTTAGAAGGATAGACAAGAAATGCATGTCATTATCGCTTATGTAAGTAATAATAATATGTATGTATTTCTTGTCACGTAGACGTGTCATTATGCGATGTCACCCTAGTATAGGCCCGAAGCAGCCTTCATAAGGATTGAATAAATTTATCTATCGTATCTGTAACCGTATGTCCGTCCGTCCACTCACATATCGTCGTTGAAGCTGCCAAAGGAGCCAAATCCATTTTGTGTCAATTGCCAAAGGGTCGAAGTCCACTTTTGGGGGGTACTGAGATTTTAGGGTCAATGGATTCTACAGAATTTTCTGAACAAGATAAGTCCAACCAAAAAATCTTAAAAAATTCTGAAACGTTCAAAATAAGCTCTGAAAGCGAGAGTAATTTAGGTGGAAATTATACCTCACGGTCTGAATCTGTTATTCCGCCGATTCTGGTGCCCTTTGAATATGCTGTGGTACTAGGTGAGTGAACGGAAGATGAAGGAGGGTTTTACTCCATTACACCGTTTGTGTCTGTTACACCCCCTCAAAGTGCCAGGAAAATCTATTTTTACAGTATAAACCTTCACCAAAAATCAAAATTTTATACAATTTTATGATTTCTTGCATTTTCTTACTCCAAGATAATTTTCTAACCCTATCTGATATGAAACTTGAGTGTTTTGATTTTTAAAATATTTTCGAAATTTTGTTGTTTTCGAAAAAGTCAGAAATTCAAAAAAGTTAAATTTAACATTGTATATGAGAAAGCAACTATTTAGGACCACAATAGTGCAAGAATTTTCAAAATCTGAGAAAAACTGAATTTTTGGTGAAGATGTAAACGAGCCAAAACGGTTTTCTTTTACTCTTTGAGGGGGTGTGGTAAGGCCAAACGGAGGCATGGAGGGAAACCCTCTTTCACTTTTCTTACCCTCCCCAGTACTACAACATATGCGAAGGGCATCAAAATCGGAGATCAGAATTTAAAATCTTTAATTCCTATTGAGTTATATGCATTTTATGCTGGTTTGTCTCATCAAAAGTGGTAAATATACTAAAAAACAGTTATAAATTACACTCATTTGTTGTTACCAACTTACTTGAGTGAGTAAAAGTTGTCTGCATCTCCTCAAGCATAGCAATATTGAGTTTTAAATGTATCTTTTGTATTTATGCTCTCCTGAAAAATTTTGTTTTTGGAGAAGGCCCCTTTGTCAATTGACACAAAATGGATTTGGCTCCTTTGGCAGCTTCAACGACGATGTTTTAACTTTGCACGGATTTAAACTTCGACATGTGGTTTACTTCAACATTTTTTATTACTTTTGATGCACAGACAAGTTCAAAGATGAGCGTTGTCACGATGGAACAGTGATGACGAAAATATTGAATTTTTATTTTCCACCAATTATTTTGTTTCGACGTTTTCGTTAAATATTTGGCTAAATACTGGGCTCCGTTGGGCGAGGATTTCAGAAATCGAAGTAATGCACGGAAACGCATACACAACCCATTTGGTTTCACCGTATTGCTACATTTTATTTGCAACTGTATATTGATCCCTGCGGAAGTAAGTAAGGCGAGCAAACGGATGTGAAGAGTAAATGTCATACTTTAGACAAATACAGGCAGTATTGCATTGATAATGTGCCCTGTAGATTTTGCAACAGATTTAATATTCATGATAATATTGATTGTAGTAAATCCCTATGGAAAGACTGGCATTATTGACGTATGTAAATTTCAAAGAAATGTTGTTCTTAAAGTGTTGCCTTCAACCTGATAAATAATATTAAGGCAGGTACATATACATATTCATTTATTACAAAGGTGTACATACATTTCTGGCTAAACATATATTTTACAAATAGTGAAAGATAAGAGAAATAAGGTTGTCATCAAAATTTGGCACAGAATTGTCAGGTACAGTACTTAGGGAACATCCATAAATTATGCCGATTTTTCAGGCCCTAGCCCCTCCTGGTCAGGCGTTACACTCCTTTTAACATACACTGAAGATCCGTCTTTCCTATTAACCCATTCAGTAGTGAAGTAATTTATGGACTGCCACGTATTTATTTCGAAATATAGCTTCTTTTCTTTTCAATGTTATAACACTAAATTGACTAATGATTGCTAAATAAGAATAATATTAGTTGTTATGTTAATGCTTCTGTCATAACTTCAAATAGTTGGATGCCTCATTTGAAAATATTTATAAACATAAAGGTTCGAACTTGTACTGGATAATTAATTGTTTGCTTTTCCCACTTTTTAGCTTTTGTTTGTATGATTATCAAAATTATTCCATTCATTACTTACGTATGTATATATGTAATTTTTAATTGGTCTTTAGTTGCGTGTTTCAAAAATAAAATCAAATTTTTTTTCATGCATTTTCATGCATGCAAAAATTATCCGCAATCCGCAACAAGTAATGGAGACAAAGCGGTTTTGGTGGTGGATCTTGCGGGAGAAATTCACCCACGTTTGCTTCATCACACATTCCATTGGAGGAAAAGAGCAAAAATAAATACAAACTACAAACTAATTTCAAATTTAACTACGTAATAATTTTAATTGCAATTAATAAAATTTCTAGCACACAGTTTCTACTCAACAGTTATCTCTGCTGACAAGTAATTATGTCGGCCGTTGCGGAGGTAAGTTTGTAACTTAAAGTTAATAAAAAAAGTAAGAATTCTTGACATTTTAAAATTTCCGTTTTTAATTAAACTATCCGATTTATTTTTAAGAGGGGAGAGTTCGTGATTTCCAGCCAAGAAGAAGAAGCCCCCTTTCTTAACCCAGATGTAAACTTATTTGACATATATTTCATATTTCTTTTCACTTTTATGCTTTAAGCTTTTATTTACATTTTACTAATTTTTCTTTCAGGTAATTGGTCACATTTGCAAATTCCTTGCCACCTCAGACATAGAGAACTGTCGGCTCGTCTCGTCATCTTGGAATCATGGAGCAACCCCCGTTCTAAAATCCAGGACAAGAACGACCCTCGAATTTTCTCCAGGATATGATGAGCATGGGAACATTTTCGGTGCAGATTTGGGCGGCTGGGACATTTCCGATGTGATAAAGAAGCTGGAATTTCGTCCCGTCAATATCCGTCTAGCGATTCCATCCACCGAATACAATCTGCCACCCCCGGATTTCACCATGTTTCCTTTCGACAACAATTTTAAATCAATCATTGTCGAACACCCGCTCGGCGATCAGTTTCATTGGCAACGGGAATTATTTACAAAATTTATTATGTCGTCGTCCACAACTTTGGATGAATTGCAATCTGACTGGCTAGAGGACGAGGTTCCCCTAGATTTCCCCCCACTGGGGGACACCGTCTTCCCTAAATTGACGAAATTAGAGGTCGACCGATACTTTCGTGGGGACGGTGCTGTCCAACTAATTGGTCGCGCTGTGACGACATCGTTCCCAAAACTGAAGTATCTCTCGATAAAATGTGATTATTTAGTCGCAATTTCAGAAACTGGACTAAATTCGCTGCGGTAAGTTTCGTATAATTTTGGGTGGATGTGGATGACGAATAAGATTCAAAATTTATCGATCACAAATTTAATTGATATGAATTTTGTAAATGACATGACACGATTTCTCATAAATTAATATCATAATCATATCAATCTGACTCGTTTCATTCAGGTCCCTCAATTCCCTCAAGTTGATCGGAGATTTGGACACGAACGGGGTGGAATATCTCCTCAAAATTCCTGCCAGTTTGAAGAAACTCGTTTTTGGTGGTTCTCACCCAGTCGACTTTGAAATTGATGCCTGTGTCGACGAGCTGCCTACCATTTTCTACAAATTATTAAAGAAACACGCCCCCACTTTGGAAGAACTTGATCTCGACATGACCTGGATGAACGGAGAGAAAAATTTACAATGGAAATTTCCCGTGTTTCCGGTCCTGAAAAAGTTACTTATGGAAGTGTAGAATAAGTATGATAATGGTTTCCTGAAATTAAAAAGAATGTAAAAAAAAGGCAACAAAAATTGTGATAATTACTAGGGTTGCCCCGGGTACCGGGTAACTACCCGGTAGCCGGCATACCCGGCCTGTTTTGGGATACCCGGTACCCGGCCGGGTACACTTAAGTACCCGGTCTACCCGGTCGGGTAATTTAAATATTCAATTTTCTTACTTAAAATGCAAAAATCTTGCAAAAAAATATAATCCGAGAGTTTTTATACTTGGTATAAAATAATATATTTGGAAACAATGGATACAACCTTGGCCAACACTTATTTGAAAATTATGATACAAATTTCAAAATTAATTTGGGCGCACTCACGTGAGCGAATTATCAATCAGTCAATTTGAATATTTCGAACATTAAGCATAACTTGCGAAGTTTTTGGAAATTTGCAAGATCACTCAAAATTTTTGCTAAAAAGCCATTTTTTCGTAAAATATTTCGCAGACTCATCCTCGCGATCATCAGCGAGAGAAATTGCGAACCCCATGACTAAAAAATCAAAATAGATTTAGTCGATTTAGGAGACTTTCGAAGTGTTATCTTGCTAATCGATTCGCAAGATATCACCTTGAAAGTCTCGCAAAATTTGTTTTGTGAAGTAATCCCTTAAGAAATAACTTTGTTACGCCTAACAAGTTTGCTAAATGATTGCGATGACAAATAAGACATTGTCGTGAGTACGCTCTTTATGTCAAATCAGGGTTTTACCGTTGGGAAAATAGGGTGGGGAAAATGGGTGGTTAAAATGGGTTTTAGCCACCCACCCCAAAGCCCCGCAAGTGGGGAAAATGGGGAAAACACTTTTTTGGGGCAAAATGATTCACTTTTTCACTCTAAATCTTGAAAGATAAAGTAATTCATCATATCAAATAACACTAGAGCTCTGAAAAATTATAAAAAATATAGATAATTGCTGAGTCTCTCTGTATTCCTTACTTCGAAATTGTTTCCATTTCCTTCTTCATGTGTAAGTTATATTAGGTGGTTGATTCATATTCGCTATCACTATAAAGATCTAATGACAAAAGATCAATTGTTATACTCTATGAGCGATTAGAATGAATGTAAATTGTTAGGATATTTCGTATTTACCCAGAGTGTAGTTTTATTTTTACTAAAGTGGGAATTTTAAACCTAATGAATTATTTAACGGTAAAATAAAAAATCGAGTGGTTAATTTAATAAACAGTAAGAACACAACACAACAAAGAAAATAAACCGTAGTAACGTTAGAAGTAGCTCACCCTGTCATAATGATTTAGGCAGAACTTTGTACCGAAGGTGCGGAATAAGCCAACAAAATAGATCACAACTCTTATATATTCATTATTTATATGCCGTTGGTTCTAACTTGCCCAAAGGTGCAGAAAAATGCAACAAAATAGATACATAATTTTTTGCAATTATGCACCAATGGTGCAGAAAAATCCAACAAAATAGATCAATAATTATTATGCATCGAGAAGAGTCCAAAAATTGTGCGTCACTAGTGCAGAATTACTTACCAACGTTCAACCATCATTTTGAAAAATTTATGTCAAAATTGTATGATCATTTCTCCCGGATATTCTGCATTATTGGTGCGTTTTGCGTCCCTGCCTCCAATTATTTCGCATCATTTTGTGTTCCCGATTGTTAGATATCAATGGTCCTATTAACTTGTTAAAAAATTTGATTCGGTTTGTTTAGTACCAATGGTGCGCCTAACGTATCCAATAATGGTCAAGGGGCTGTTTAATTAGCATCAATTGATGCAAAAAACTCGTTAACAGACAGACAGACAGACAGACAGACGGACAAGAGGAATTCAATAGCTCTCATGCTACGCAGGGTGAGCTAATAAACTACCCCCAATGGTGGTGTTGGTCCACCACGTCACTATAACCCTTCATACTCATTTTCCCCACTACCCATCCATTTTCCCCATTTTTTCCATTTTACCCACTGGGCTGGGGATTAAGCTCAAAAGGTGGGTAAAGTAAAACCCTGTGTCAAATATGATTCTTTCGTTTATGTATTATCCACTTTCTAGCCCGATTCATTAGTCTGAGAAGTTGAAATTTTTAGCACATGCGTATTGGACAAAGACATGGCAAACAAGTCCAGAGATAGGCTACATCGGTCACCAAATTGACCTTTGGTTGGGGGTAGTATTGGAGCAAAGTGTAACCATAGTGAATCTAACCATAGTGAATTCCTTAGAGAATGCGACCTGTACCAATTTTTACAATATATTACTTTCATCTGAAATTTGGTACGGAGGTTAAAAATGAAGTCTGAACTGTAGAAATTTAGCTTGTAATTTTTAAACCTTATAAAATTGATGCAAATTCTAAAAAAAGTAGAAAATTGTCCTTATTTTTAATATTTAAAAATTACCCTGTACCCGGCCGGGTAGCCGGGTACCCGGCAAAAAGTTTAGGCCGGGTAGCCGGGTACCGGGTAGTGCCACTACCCGGGGCAACCCTAATAATTACATGGTCAAAATTAATTTTGTGTGTTAAATCTGCGTGTCATTGATTGCCGCCGTTAAAATAAATACACGACTAACACATATCGGTAACAAATAATTTATTTTGCGTCTAGCATTTTCAAAAAATTCAGTCATCGGTGCGCAACATTTTCAGAGCGAAACTATTTATTTTATGGACTGAATTACGCTTTTTCTGAAAAATTTAAAGTATTTAAAGTAACTCAGGCATAAATTTTCTCCTTCTTTCATATGTTTATTAAAAAATGACATAACTTTTTCTAAACCAATTTAATTTAACTAAACTCATTTCGACTCCTTCCCACATTGATATAATTCATCGCCAACCAATTAAATCACCCCAGACGAAAACGATTGTAACTTTCGTTGAATTTGGCACAGTGTATCAATGATACAGTGTCATATTTAGAAAACTGAATTTTTTGTAATTTTCTGGCAATTATATGTATAAGTAAATCTTAGAATTTAGCCAAAATTCATGAAATGAAGGAACAAAAATAAAACCCGAAATATGATCGAGAATATGAATATGTACATAGGTCCTCAAAAGATTTGGCCACTACTATGTCAGTAAATATGCACCCTTGATTAGGGACGGTGCATAAATTATGTCACGCGAGCGGGTGCCTATGTAAGGCTCCAATGATATCGTGCCCACGTGACTGGGGTCTAGAAATTCGCGATTTTTGCGTTGCGTAATTTATAGACCTCCCCTTAGCTAGTGACTGTACACATTCTCCAAAAGTTTGAGGACTGTTTGTCAATAAATCGAAAAAGTCATGTTTCATTAATATCCTACGTGTTGTTATAAATGTAAAAAATTAAGGAGGCATACGTACATATGTATGTACGACCTACTTGTAATTATGATTAGTTGTAATCATAGCTCGAAGGGGACCATGGTCCCCGGGACCAATATGGTCCCCCGGGGACCATTTTTTTCGATGGTCCCCCGGGGACCAGGGACCAGGGACCATTTTTTTCGATGGTCCCCCAGGGACCAGGGACCAGGGACCATTTTTTAGATGGGCCCTCGGGGACCAGGGACCAGGGACCAGTTTTTCAGATGGTCCCCCGGGGACCAGGGACCATTTAGGGGACCATGGTCCCTGGTCCCCAAATGGGAGTTTAACATGGTGGTCCCTGGTCCCTCGGGGGACCAGGGACCATTTTTTTCGATGGTCCCCCGGGGACCAGGGACCATTTTTTTAGATGGTCCCTCGGGGACCAGGGGCCAGGGACCATGGGGTGGGGGACCAGGGACCAGGGACCAATTTATTGCGAGCTATGGTTGTGATGCGGAATAGATAATTATAAGACCACGTGATGTAGTTAAGTTGTGTTACTTGATGTAAACCAGTCATGGACTATCAGTCAATCAGCTTTGTAATGCCAGATCTTGATGCAATTTCTATCTTTTAAATTGCTCAACTATTAACACCAGAGTACATCTAATATGGACAGTTGGACACCATGGACAAGTTTCAACCTTACATACTTGGTGTTACTCATAAGCCATTTTTAGCCTTTTAGAAGGGTTACGGTTAAATGGTCTTGGGTAGCTTGTAGGTGGGTAGAGTGGTAATTGGACCAGTCGTAGTAGGGTAACTCGTGGGAGCGAAAGATCTCGTAGGAGGGCATTGTCGTCGAATCCAGCTTTTAGGCTTACACTACACTGGTTTGGTAAGGCCATTTTTAGAAATCGATGTGGATCAATCGTATCCCCTGGGGCCGCCTAATTTCTAAAATAATTAATAAAACCTAAATTATGGCTTTTATTCAAAGACGACCTAATCTTGACCCTTCGAATTGTGTGGCTTCGATTTCTGCATTTGCCCTGTAAAACGTGGAGAAAGTAAATCCTAGAAATTGGGGAAAATGAGGTCCCCAACCAGTGGCCGCGGAAGGGTGAGTGCAGAGGGACAATGTCCCCAGAGTTATGCAATATCCGCATGATCTACTCATGTGACACAAACCACTTTCACCCCTATTCTACCATGTTAATGTCAAAGTTAATGGCAAAAGTTTCACGAAATCCAATTTTCCCTTGACTTTGTAGCTACAACTTTTATTGATCCCTAAGTGGCCCGTGTAGCTTTATAGAACGAAGCAAATTATATAAATGTCCTCCAGAAAATAAAATGCGTCAAGTTGCTATTTTTAAGAATTCATAAGTAATTAATGTAACTTTATACTTTTTAAGAGATACATACATTCACACATTTAATGAGGCCCAAGTGGAATTAACTATTTGATTTGGAAACTCAAGTAACCTAATTAATCCTTAATTAAGTAATCGTGCGTATATACCTATATAATTGCATAGTCCCTAATGAAACATTGCCCATTCGCCACTCGGTATGTCCTATTCATTTCAAATCTTGAAAATGCAATCTGCGTCCTTAAGATTCGAGAAACAAATCTTAAAACTTTCCTGGTTTTACGAATTTCCTCCCATGTTTGGGAACCGACAGCGAGTGAAATTCGTTCCATTTGGGACCAGAAATCTGGTTTTGCCGAAACTTGGTTTCACTGGCTGCTCAATTTTTCGAAAGAATGTCGTATTCAAGGTGGTCACTGTCGTCAATTTTATCTATACTGTCGGAATTGCTGCGACCCTGAGGTTCTGCTATACGGGGCGAATTCATATCAAAATCGGTTCCTTAATAACAGTAAGCACTGTGGGATTAATTGGGCTGTGCAATGTGTCAAGTAATGTCCTATTTTCAGAGTCTTGGGATTACCGAAAATGGGATTAATGATTAGGATTAGGGATTGATTTTAAAAAATTCGGGATTGAGGATTGAGATTAGGGATTAAATTAACTCGGGATTAAAATTAATTTGGGATTAAATCTCTCGAGGCATTCAATCGGATTAGGGATTAGGATTAATTTAGTCCAATTTTAATCCCGGATTGGGATTAAAATCGTATTTATCGTCGATCACATTTGTATCTAGTTAATGTTTCCAATGTTTTAATTACATTTTTTGATAAGCCCTAAACAGTGTGATTGAATATGAATCCTACCGTAACCTAATGACCGTATAAATAATGACCTAAAGTGCGAGTTGTCGCTTAAGTGACAAGCCTCCTTTTGATTATCATTGAGAGTATTTGAGAATGAGTGGGCACTCCCACTGGCCACTATAGGTTATTATTATACGGCCATAAGAATATGTACTCTGCACATTAGCCACATAAAGTAAGTTTACTTATTAAGTCAGCACTTAACTAAAATCAACTTGAACAGATAAAGTTTTATCAAATGTTTTTAAATACATGAGCATTTGTTTTATAATATCGAATTGTTGTTTGTGAAATACAATGATAGAATTGCCGTAAATACATAGTTGATAGGTATGGGAAACATATTTTTCATTGAAATAAAAGGAGAATTGGCAAGGTCTCTGAGAATTTTCAACAGGTGGAGCTGATTTAATCCCATTTTAATCCCATCTTGGATTAAAATTAATCAATGGCTTTCGGGATTAGGATTGAGGATTAATTATTTTTTCCAAACTACTTGGGATTGAGGATTAGGGATTAAAAGTCAAACATTACGGATTGAGGATTGGGATTAAGGATTAATTAATCCCCAATCCCAATCTCAATCCTCAATCCGTAATCCCGGATTAACCAGACTCTGCCTATTTTGGTTGCACTGCGACAAAATTAACTGGACCATGCGAGAAGTTAAGCGACTGAGTATGTACCACCGGTTTTTATGATATTAATAATAAATAATTTAGCCATAATAAATAGCCTTTCGTTTGAGTAATATACGGATCTAAACTCGTGAAAAACTCACTTTTGAAGATGGGGGTATTTAATC